ACTCTGCTTCTAGAGTTTATGGAAAAACACTACCATCAGGGTTCATTCAAGTGCTGGATGAAGTATTTGGAAGTAGTTAAGACAAGGTTCTTTGGGTGAATCTGATATCTTTTATTAGACCAACTTAAATAGTTGGAAAACAATTATTAAGTAAGCTTTCGGGTTCCAAAACCCTTGGTCAGGCTAAGGAAGTTTCTGCAGTTGATGTGTGCTCTTCCTGGATGGAACAAAAAGTACAGAAGCCAGAGGCTGGGCTGGTATGCATACAAGGCAGGTAGTCAGTAAAAATGTAGATTGAGGAGTCAATGGGTGAGAGACAGGCTGGGGGAGTGGGGGGGAGAGAGAAGGGGGATGAATAGTGGAGAGATACCTGGGGAGTCAGATGTCAGGCAGGTTATAATGTGTCATAAATCCAATGTCTATATTTAGTCTGTGATTTTTAGTATCCAGGAAGTTGATGAAGTGGATCAGAACTGAGAGATTGGAGAGAGAGTGGTTTTCTTTTGAGAAATGCGCCCCCACAGTTAATTGGATATTCATGTCTTTGATAGATTTCCGGTGTGCATTCATTCTGGTGCGCAGTTGTTGTTTGGTCTCTCCTACGTATTTTCCATCAGGGCATTTGGTGCATTGGATGAGATACATTACATTTCTGGAAACTTACAAAACACTTCCCAGAGACGAGCCTATGAACTCCACTTCATCAACCTCCTGGATACTAAAAATCACAGACTAAATATAGACATTGGATTTATAACACATTATAACCTGCCTGACATCTGACTCCCCGGGTATCTCTCCACTATTCATCCCCCTTCTCTCTCTCTCTTCCCTCCCCCCCCACCCCCCAATTGACTCCTCAATCTACATTTTCACTGACTACCTGTCTTGCATGCATACCAGCTCAGCCTCTGGCTTCTTTACTTTTCATTCCATCCAGGAAGAGCACACACCAACTGCTGAAACTTCCTTAGCCTGACGAAGAGTTTTTGAACCCGAAAGCTTGCTTAATAATTGTTTTCCAACTATTTAAGTTGGTCTAATAAAAGATATCAGATTCACCCAAAGAACCTTGTCTGCCTATGTCCTTAGACCAACACAGCTACAACCTACACCCCTGGAAGTAGTTAATACTCTCCTGTGCTTCATCAGGGCTGACCGTGAAGGAAACTGGCATGAGCATTTACCTACCTTTAAAGAAATGCTTCTGCTGATAGCTGTGAATGATTACACCAATTATATGAGATGTACTCCAGGATTTCTTGAATGTATGAAGTGTTTAATGAATTTTGCTCCTATGATGTATGATGGGTTTGTGGAAGGAGGATTCGGGGTCAAGACAACTATTCTCCCATTTGTAAACATTTCAGCCAGCCAGGCAATAGAGCATGTTAATGAGGTTTGCCAAATTGCTGGTGGCACAATAAACATAACACGCAGTGAATCAGCTAGACAATGATGGGAGTTGAACTACAATGAAAGAGGAACCTAACCAAGATGGTAAATCAAATATGTGGGATCAATATAACATCTTTCAATCATAACAAAGACAAAGGACACAACTGAAATGAGATTCCAACAACGTCAAGTTGCTACAAGAGCAGTTCAAAATGTTCAACTTGTTTAAGGTTTCTAACAATAAGCTGTTACATATTTGTAAAGGAGATATGCTAGAAGATATTGCATTAGATATTCTGAATGCATGTGACAAAGGAAGAGGAATAGCAAACACCATTATCCATAGACGGCTTACTGCAGATGCTACTGAGCTTCTATGCAAACATACCCAAATCAAAATTGAAACCTTCAAAGATGTAAAGTCAACTATGGGACAGTGCAGGAAAATGATATAGATGCAGAATACAAAGAAGATTCAGCAAAGGCTACTCACATCAGGTGCAGCAGGTAGTAGGTTCAGCGTGCACTCTCCTACAACGTGAACTGTCTGGATGTCCTCCAGCACTTTTTAAACCCAACAAATTGCTGACAAAGCAGCCTTGTCATGGCTCTCAATTGGAGATAAAGCAGTAACTGTTCTTCCAGATGCTACTTCCGAGAAATCAGTTGTTATTATTGATGGTATGGCTCTTGTACAGAGAATAGAAAAGCCAAAAACTGCATGAACATTTGGAGATTTGGCTGATTCCTTTGTGCAACAAGTGTTTGTCAACTATTCCAATATGTGCGATTGAGTTGACATTGTCTTCAGTTGATATGCATCACCCCTCATAAGGCTGACACAAGAATATTAAGAACTCAAACTACTAGGCCAATCCACAGAAACATTAGCTTTTGTTAGTGGCATCATGGTGTAGTTTCATAACCTCACCAGGAAACAAAGAAAGCATAGTTAATTTTCTTAAGTGAGGAGCTTCCTAAGCAATCACACCAGTGTTTCTGAAGTGAACAAGTGCTCACTGTTGGTGGTTTTGCTGATGAAAAAGCAGAGCACTCCAGCTCATGTGACATTTTGCAACTACATTCACAACAAGAAGAGGTGGACACAAGAATGCTTTTACATGGCAAACATACAGTCAGTCAGGAATACTCCTTTCTAGTATTCTCCTGTGATGACACAGACATATTGGTCCTTCTTCTGTGGCATAACCTTGTGCCTAAGGTTTGGATGAAGAGAAGAAACCCAATAAGATTATTCCAGTTCATGATATTATGTAAGAATTCCCTGAGCCAATCCACGCATCTCTAATTGGATTCCACAGTGTCACTGGTTGTGATACCACCAGCCAGTTCAGTGGTCACACGAAGACAACTGGAAAGTGTTCATTAAACTCCCATATCTATTGGCAGATCTAGGAAGTAGGCCTGATGTTGACAAGAATGTGTACATTGTATAAAAGAGCTTGTTGTGTTGCTGTATCAGCCGTCAACATCTTTGATGACTGTTTTGGATGTTATGGTGAAATTGTGCAAGCAGGTTAATATGTCATGCAGTTCTAGCTGCGAGTGCTGTAAGACAGCATGTTTCAATCTGTATAATAACTATAAGGATTCATAAACAGATTGAGAAATGGATTCAAGTGATGAAAAGATCTAAAAACTGCAGTTACCCATTGTATTAATGTTATGTATACCATTATATTACTGTTATATTACCACTGGATTATACTATTGCATTTTCTTTTTGCCTTGAGCCAAATATATCTCTGTTTGTTTCATTGCCATTGAGTTATTTCTTAGTAATATCTTATTTATCTGCATTCTGAAATTTTAAAAAATTGTATTGTTTTATTCAATATAACTCAAACAAGTAGGCTAGCCTGAGTTATAATGTTTTCAGTAATGTAGACCTGCTATGAAATTTGTAGTTATAGAATTTGTGAGGTTTTAGTGGTACAGTATTGTTTACTAGGTTTTTTAATGACATTGAGTTGATACATACATGTTAATGTATCAACCATATTGGAATGCAATATGGCTACCATGACAGAAATGTTATGATTGATTTCTTTGATTCATACAATGTTGGTTTCATCATTGGAATTAATTTTCTAGCCCTAGTGGGGGTTGAAATATTGACCAAAATGTGAATTCATGGCAGCCATCTTTGATTCCAATATGGCAGCTTGTAGGGGGATCACCGCAAAAGGGTGCAGCCCACAATGTCCTGATGACATTCACCTGCCCATGATTGTCAGGAATACCTTGATCAGATAGGCAGACTCTAGTCCCCACCTAATTCTCTCCTGCCACAACTTGATGGATTGTTCTTTTGGGAGGTGACATTGTCTTCGAGTTGGGTTATGGCACAAGGTGCCCTCCAAGTGGGGCTCCAACCTCCCTTTTCACCCCAGCCACACACCTCCCATTTGTTATCACAGTATCAGGTATAATCCACAGTATCAGGTATAATCCAGAATATATGCATGTAGTCAGCCTGACAATTTTCTCTAACTCAAGGCCAGCTATCATTCTTCTTCTGGATAGTTACCTCTAGCATAAAGAAAGAGTCTTTAAACTGTCCAGAACTCAGACCCAGACTTGTTTACCCAGTCTGATAAATCAAATCAATCCTATCCCTCTTGTATTTTATTCTTCTCTTTTCCAAGCCTGGATGCCCAGAGTCCAGTCGCCCTGTAGAGCTTCCTTCCCTCGGTGGAATAAAGGAAAAAAAATGCTGTGGGGAAATCCTACCCTTTTTAAAATAGCAGAGAATGAAACACAAAACCCCCCAAACTCAATGCTTCTGCTGCTGAGCCCCACAGGTGTGGATCCTTTAAGCCACAATCCCTCCTTGGCTGGCTAGGCTTCATTCCCGGACTCCATTAATTGCCCTCATTAATGCAAGACAATGTCCCCCTGGGGCCACACATTTTCCTGATCCACACTGCCAGTGAAACTCAAAAAGAAGAAAGAAACTCTCCTGTATTTTCAGGTTTCCCTCCATCCATATGCTTAAGGCTTTTAACCCTCGCCGCTGCTGTGATTGACAGAAAACAGCACTCACAGAGCTCCTCCGAGCTCACAGACTGTCTTGGTCTCAAGCCCCGTTCCCAGGGACTGTCCTCTTGACTCTCAACCAGAGCTTCCATCCTGCAGGTGTTCTCTCTTCTCCCCATTCTCCTTCCCCAGGCAGAACTCTGCTGGAAGTAGCCCTGGAGCACCAGGAGGAGCCAGTGCGACGTACTTGATGCTCTGGTGAATTCAGTCCTGGGCACATTGGGAGTTCCCTTCTCAGCATCATCACTGCCCTCTTGGGTAAACCCCGGCCAGGATCATCTTTCTCCTCTGAAGAGGCCTCTTCACATAGCTATATACACTGCCAGATTGGCAACACAACTTTTATGATGTGGGTAGACTACCTCCACCTGAAACACACTGCTGCTGCTGCTTGTGGCAATGAGTTGCCTGTGACAACACCTAGAGAACTTATTGTTCAATTTATAGCCTACTAAAATATATTGTGATTATATTTATTTATTTGCATTTATTTTGTGCTGAAGGCCTCAAAAACATTCCTTGTTTTTCTTTCTTTCAGTCTTTCTATCTTGCTCCATTCCTACATTGAGCTCCATGAAGGTCAATGATCTGGAGGCACTGGAGTCACAGAGGCACTAAAGCCTGCCCACATAAAGCTTTTTGCATAAGGTTAAGGCTTTTCCTTTCTGGTTATTTTTTATGTTATGGACACCAATATTATAAAGCCTCATTGATCCCATTTTTACTGGAGAAACAAGTGGAACAGGAGCCCCTTTAGCTGTCAGTTGAACAAGTAAGGCTGTTGACTTTTTCAGTTTTTCTACCAACATTTTCTTAGGAATTTGAGTTAAACATATTAGGGATTTTTAATCAGACTTTTTCTTCTCTCTCCAGATTTTTTAGATTTAAGATTTCAGCCTTTGGTAACATACCTGATAGTTTTCCTGTTTCCATGCATTGACAAGTAAGATTACAAAGAGTAAAATGGCCCTTTTATAAGTGGAAAAATTCTAAACAAATATTACAACATTTTTCATTCCTTCTTCATAAATCACAAAGAAATATGTATAAGGGAGGAATGATATCTACAGACATCTAAAAACAGAGGAAGAATAAATGAAAAATACATTTATGCAACTCTTGTATGCAAGCCTTGTAGAAGATACCTTCTAAAGCCAGTAATGCTAAGATTGGGCTGAAGGAAGAAAGGAGGCACATACTGGGTGAAAAGAAATAGCTGGGAAGAGAATACAGAGATAAATATGTAGGTAGCAGCCTGGAGCAAATCCATTGGGAGATTTAAGGATAAGGAAAGTGATTTAACTGGGATCCTGAACTGAAATCAGAACCTGTTGAGGAGTGTGGGGATGATAGTAGGATGGTCATGCTCTTTGGTATGTATGAGAAGCATTCTGTTCAGGGGGAGTCTATAAAGCTGGGACTTGGGAGGTTATCAAAGAAAGTTATAATAGAGAGCATGAGATGAGATGAAAGCCTCAATGTGTATTTCACCAAAAGTAGACTCTAAACTCAATACAGTAATATTCAGCATTATTGGTATTGCATACCATTTACTGAGTGCATATTTTATTTTATTATTTGAATAATCATGTTTAAAAAGCAGTTATTGCAAGTGGCACAGTTTACAGCAAACTGTCTAAGCCTTTATTTCAGAAAGCCTGCTCTTATTAGGATCTAATCCTGCTTCTACTGAAGTCAGTGTCAAAGCTCTCGTTGCCTTTCATGTCCCTTTAACCTTGAGATATTAGGCTTTGTGCTGAGCTCATTTATTTTTGTGCAAAGACTGGGCCACTTAATTCTTGTTGAAAATTTGGGCTGCTGTACACGTGCAGGGAGCGTGCTCCAACACACTATAATTCCAGTGCATCAGAGTGGACTTGATTAATTGAGTCTGCTGGAGTGTGGAAGTTGCTGCACTCCAGCAGCCTCAAGTGTCATGTGTATCAGCGTCCTCGTGCTGAAAATGCCTCATTGAAAAGTTGTTCAATGAGCTTTAGTTCAAAGCACCCCACTGCCATTTTCAGGGGGTGACGATTCACATGATGCTTCAGGTGCTTTTAATGAGCACAGCTCTCAGAGCTGCGCTAATTCAAGTGCCCCCCGTGCCTAGGACAATAGCACGTAGTCATAATGTTTGATCAGGCATTGTACTGCAAAGTGAATGACCTTGGGGTGCTCGGAGCATGTGTATAAACGCCCTTTGATTTCATATCTAAGACTAAAAAAGTTTTGCATGGTAGGATTATGGACTTGGGAAGGGGGCAGGAGTGGGTATCACCTGCTGAATTTTTCAGAAGCTCCCTACTTATAAAACTCAAAAATTGCTTACTTTTTTAAGACACCATCTATTCAGAATTCTAATTTCTGGATTTTAGATCTTTCTGGTAAAATGGTTACACTATAAGAACATTTGACCTTTGAGGACAGCAGTAGTCAGTGTGAATGGGGGGCAGAATTTATACTAGTCATCACTTGCAACCCCCTGTGAAACATATACTTGGTCTTGCTAATATTCCAGTCAGTTCCCTCTGCAGTTGGTAGAGGATTCCTCTCAACTTTCAATACAGCTGTGCTATTATTGGAGTCTGTTGCCTTGAGTGATTCGATGCATGTACGAACCTGCTTTGACACATGATTTTCCTGGTCTCTCTTGGAGACTGCATCAAGTGCTTTGGCACAGATAAACTTCTAGTGCTTGCCATATGTCCTTGCCGCAGTGTTCTCAGCACCTTGATATGTCCAAGGTATTTTTCTTTGGTAGTGTAGTGCTCCAGCACCAGCACTGTAAGCCCAGCAGGATGGCTTTCCTACCCAGACCTTCATCATCAGACTGCTTTACAAACACTGGTTGGTGACTCAATTGAATATTCTTTTCAAGGATGGAAAGAAAGCCTCTGCTTCATGATCAGGTTCTGCTGATGAGTGGCTTTGAAAGTGCTCAAATGCCCTCTGCAGAGGACCTCAACACCAGAAGCAGAAGGGGCATATGTCATCTTTCAACAAGAACCAAAAAATCAAGAGCCAATTTAAAGTGTCTAGAGCACTGAGCCAGCCTGCCATGACAGGACATCCCTGTCAGAAGTGTGTCTTTTATACCTATTGACTCCTGATCACCTGGCTCTAAAACCCATGTCATTAGTCCTCAAGTTTGGAAAGATCTGCAACTCCATGGGGAAAAGGATCTCATCGTTACTGCAGCTAGCTCTGAGCAGGCACTTAGATATAATGTGCACAAAACCTGCTTGACTTTTTCATGTCTGAATACTGAAATGCAGTATTCACAACATGTTCGCTACCAAGTGACATTTATCCAAGGAAAAAGTGAAACACAGCCTTACACTGAAGTAACTCGCTCCGTACTATGCAAAGTTAGCCTCCAGAAAGTAAGGAGTAGCTAGCTATACATGGGTGTAAACCACACTGGCATACCTATTGTTTACATCTGCTAGACAACTTCATCCCACAGCAGCCTTTTACTCAGTGCAAACTGGATCCACCCTGGCTAGTGCAGGTGCTGTAATAGGGCCTACTGAAGGTCTGCTTTTCATTATGGAATAAGATTTACTAAGGAATAAACTCTGAGTACGAAGAAGTAACTGAGACGCATTTCTTCCATCATAATTTTGGTATGTATTAACATCCTAAAATTTAAAGATTAATTCAATTTAAATATATTTGGCAATTATTTAGGGATATCCTGGATTAGTCTTAAGGTGAACCAGTGTATCGGTACCCTTTCTTCAGGTTCACATTGGGGCTGGGCACTTGAAATCTGCTAAAAAAAATCTGTCTCACATTTCTGTGGCTTGTCAACACCGATAAACATGTCTTTTGAACCACTTATTTCCTTCAGGTTCCTGGAGCCACACCACCACATTTACCCCAGCATAACCATCCTAATGAGGCCCATTTTATGCTTGAGGTTAAAAAGTTCCAAAGTTTTACTTGCCACAAATTAAAGCCCTTAGAAAGTTGACTGAATTTTTTTCTCATTTGATAGCAATTTAGTGGGCAACTTTGTTATTAAATTCCCAAATCTAAACAATCATTTTATTGCATTTCACAATCCTAATATATCTGTCCTGAAGTTAGGATTCAGTATCAAACTGCACTGAGGCAAAGCAGCCTTTATTGCTTGCTTCAGAGATGTTTCCATCAAAGACAACTACAAATCAGCCATGTGCTCCATGCATTAATATACAATAGCATTGTACTTTAGATTTGGCCTATTACAGGGAAGCATATTTTGGTCCTCCTTTGCTATGGATTTCATTTCCAAGGCATGGGAAGCCAAACTAACCAACACAGTAGAAACTCTGCATGTTCTGGGATGACTGTTAAGTTGACCAAGGTTATCTTAACGGTGTGGTGGGTTTTTTGTCTTAGCATATATCCTACAGAGTAAGCTCGAATTTAGGACCAAGCTTCCTTTATGTTAGTGACTCCACCCCTTCCTATTTCTCCCTTTTTGATGGCTTACAGTCTCCAGTTATTGTTGCCTGTTGTCGATTTTTCTTTTGTTACAGCCTTTTTTACATCCCAACAAGTAGGAATCCTCACAGGTCATATCTACAGAGACAGGTATTGACCTATAATTTTGCTCCTCTGAAGAGATCTTTCCAATAGGATTTTTACTTACTCATCTCTCCTTAAGTTTTCAGGAGTCTTTGATAAAGTGTTTTTATATACATCATTATTCATTTTGAATAAAATATTTTTTCCATTTTTTAAAACTTGTCTATTTAAAATCGAAAACATGTACTTCCTTTTCAGTCAGAATAATTTGAAGGCATACAAAGTAGACCTGTGCGAAGCAGCAAGTATTCAGTTCGCCTTCAGATTCAGCCGATTCGGAGGGACAGCGATTCAATTAAGTGATTCAAATCGCTGTCCTGATTCGGTTCAGCCAATTCAGATTCGGAGTTTCAGCCACCAAATGAGGCCAAATTTCCGCTGAATCGAACAGGCAGTGGTGGCAGCACCCCAACCCCCGGCCCGCCTGGCTGCCCCTCCAGGCCCCAGCATCCCAGCACTTAAAAAACCCCCACAAAACAAACAAACACAAAAAAGCTCTGCACTCACCAGCTGCAGCAGGGGGGATCAGGGCCTCTGGGGGCTCATGGCAGAGCCCCTCCATGCAGTACAGGGCAGTGGGGATCGCCCCCCAGCCTGGCACCCCCATAGCAGCTGTCACATAGAACAGGCGCAGCATGGCTCGGCAGGGTGCCATGTGCTGTCTCGGAGTTGGGGTGGCTTCAGCAGTCACCCAGAGCTCAGCAGCATTCAGCCCAAGCAGCCCCAGCTCCTGGACAGCATGCGGAGCCCCACAGCACCCTGCCAAGCCACGTTGCAGCCACGCGGGTGCCAGGCGGGGGTGTGATCCCTGCTGCCCTGATTGCTGCTGCTGCTGCATCCAGTGAGTGTGGGGCTTGCTCCCCTCCCCCCTCCTTCAGCCCCCCTGCCCCCTACTTACTAGCACAGAGCCCAGGTCCAGCTCCCTGCGGCGGCAAGCGGGGACCGCCCAAGTCTCCAAATCAGTTCAGAGGCTTTAGAATCGATTTGGAGGCTTCCGGTTCAATTCGGACCTTTTAAAGGATTTCCCAATTTGATTCGGATTCAGAGATTCGGCCCCCGGATTGGGCCAAATCTCCAAATCAATTCAGCTACTGAAGCTTTGCACAGCCCTAATACACAGCAAGTATGGGAGAACACCTGATTCATTCATACCCACCCTGTCATGCTACAGCTGCCACACAGGGCCAAATAAAACCCTCCAGAAACTTAGGGATTTCACTTTTTGCATTCTAGGGAACCAAGACACATGAATACTCTTCTAGGGAACTCTTACACATGAAATAAGAATCTTACTATAATATTTTCTTCAAAGAAGCAAACTACAAGTCAGTAATTTTCTCTTGTTAAGTATTTTCTGCTTTTCAGAGTGTCTACTTATTGAGTAATGCTAGTATTATACCAAGTCTCATTAGGCAGTCCTAGTATTGAAAGCTAACAAAAATGTAGAGAAAAATTAATGAACACTTGAAATCACATGTGTATTAAAGTATAAAGTGCTTACTCTGTGAAACATTGATGATTTGTACAGAAGAGTGTAAACACAAATAAGAGATCCATTTGGATAAAAAAGAGTGGTAGTTAGCCATGTTAGTCTGAAGTCAGCCAGAAAGCAAGTTAGAAGTTCACCTTAGAGACTAACTGAATCAGAGATGCACACACTTTTGTGAGCCTTGGCTAACTTTATTAGAGATATTACCTTCTATGAGTCTATGATTCTAAAGTGAACTGTGGCTCTTGAAAGCTTCTGCATCTCTGATTCAGTTAGTCTTTAAAGTGTGCCTCTGCCTTGTCATTTGGACAAAAGCAAGAGCAGTGGGATGAAATCTAAAATAAAATTTAGGCTGAATAGCAGAAAAACCTCAGAGCAGTGCAGTTGATTAGATAATGGCATATCTACCGAGGAACGAAACAGAGGGTCAATCCCTCTGACCGTTTAAATCTAGAATGCACATAGCACTAGCCTATGTACTGTAGGAAACAATTTTGCAATAGTAGAAGGGATAGATTACGGCATCTAAGCACATGCCCACATTTTTTGCGGGGAATGCTCAAATCAGTGAATTTACTCTCTCACACAAACAATTTAAAGACCGTGTGTGTGTGTGTGTGTGTGTGTGTGTGTGTGTGTTACAAATTGGTGAAGAAGAGCACTTCAGGGTTAAAACCTGCTTGTCCCACAAACCCTAATTCTGCTATGAACTCCATGCAAGCTCAAGATTATGGGGAAGGACATGTACCATCAACAAAACAGGGGAACTAGCTATCCACAGCATTATCAAGCACACTACTTAGTACTAGTCCTAGAAGGAAAGCAGGAGACCAATGGCAAACTCTGAGACCACTCATGTTCCCTGGAGGAGAGAGAAAAAATGGAAAACTCCCATTTTATACACATCTGCAGGGCAACAGAGAAATGAGCAAATGACTCATGGATGGACATAGTGGGGTCCTGACCAGAGAAGATGGTGTCAGGGATGGTGGGAAAGAGAAGTACAGTATAAGTGAACAAGGAGATCTCAAGGAGACCAGAAAGAGCATTCAGAAGCTCTAAAGGCGAGATCAGTGGGTTGATTTGGTTTGTCTGATGGATGAATTTAGAGGTAGGTTGTGCTGAGAGAGGAAAGGCACAGGTATACAGATTATCCTGACAACAAGGGATTTTCCACATAAAAGGAAGTCCTGAAGAGAGAGAAGATAATAGACATATGTAGAGGGAGGGTTTCTGAGAGGAGGGAAGTCCAGACAAGTGGTGGGTTCCTGAGATATGATGTAACAACGATGAGAGATAGGTTTGTTTTCCAGTTACTGCACCTCTCTGTTGAAGGAGTCTGTCTGGTTCCCACTTTTCTGCTGTCTGGTTGTCTGTGCTGCGAGGCACTGCAATGTGACTGCTATTTCAGAAACAGCCATGTGCAAACATATGCTCTGACACTCACTCCGTGCTCTTTTTCCCACGCACAATACACATGCATTTATTCTTGATTTCAAAAGAAGACAGACTGAAAGTTCAGTTTTGCTCCTTGTGTATAGAATCTGGAATTATGGAATTTCTGAGATATTTTACTCCCTGACACGCCTTTGAAAATCCCAGCCAAAAAACAGAAAACACAGCATGAGAGTACTGGAGGTGACACAGACTGGAGAGGAAGTCATTTCCTGGAGATAGGAGGTGTATGCTAACAAGAAGGACAGGAACTTTTATATAACACCAGACCTGTTTGCCTTTCCAGTTATTAAGGTTCCAGCTCCCTCGCGTGTCCCTCCTTTCCAGCCATATCAGTTGTGTCCTGGTCTTTCCCTTGGGGAATCTCTTGCCCATTATCTCCTCATTTTCCCCATCCCTGCCAGTACTTGTCTCTCCCAAAGGTGGTAGATATGACTAAACCAGGCAGTGGAATGACAACTGGTTCCCATAGCATTATAATAACCTGTAATATAGGGATTTATACTGGAAACACTAATCTTTACTACAGTGGTCATATGAAATAAAGATTCAGCATCAGCAATAGCATGGCTGACAATCAGGGCAGATTACATTACTCTTAAAATCTCTTTTCTTTTATCTACATAATGTGATTAGATATTTAGAAATACTTTATTTGTTTTCATAGCTTGATATTGTGTGATCCTTTCTACTTTATTTGTAGAGACATTATTTTGCCACATGATTAGCTAACACAGCATCCAATTACACAGATATGGTAGTAATTGTAAGCTTGTGTACAGAGAAATTACCATACAAATGATATAAAATAAACTAATCTCAGTAAAACAGGGTAAATCAGAATGATATTATAACAGGAAGACTGTAGAGCATGTACCCTCATATAGATCTGTCATTTCATTTTGAGTTAGCAGAAGTAATCTAGGCTTTCTTTTAAAAAAAAATGGTGACATTTTAAAAATAAAAATAAATTACTAGATGCTCATGTATAATAGCAGCTCACGTATTAAAGATGAACATAAACTGATTACTGTGGCCTATGCTTGCTATAGGATCCTAATGTGTGAGAGAGTCTAATATACAAATCTTACAAATTGAAGTGATTTGCATTTTGGTTTCCAGTTATTTTGGTTTCTCTGATGATGTTATCCCCATTGCTGCTGAGGCTGCTTTGGCACTTCCTTAAACCTTGCACCAGTAAAAAAGATGAACTACAGTATATCTCCAGGGAGAATGGCTCCCAAGAAATGAGAAGCTTTAAATATCAGCAGCTTCCCCTGTAGGGAAATGTAAATCATTCCTTGAAGGACTGAGAAGCCTTAATGGTTGAATCCAGGACACAAAAAAATAGGTTAAATAGGTTCAAGAAGTAAAAAAAGGATAAAAACAAAGTCTAGAGAGTGTCAGCCTGTAGGGGTTGAATCAAGAACAATGCTGATGTATAGAAAATGGTAGAGTAGTATTTTGAAATCCAGTTGCAAGTTAGGAATTACAAAACTCAAATTCTCTACTGGTCAAAAAGCGTTGGTCTAAGTGAATTTGCTGCAAAGGTAATTGTTCTCTTATAGGTTGTCTTATAGGTTTTATGATAAAAAACAGTGTAGATAGTAAAAAGAGAAAGGCAGTTCGGTAGTAAGGAAGAAAAAGGTTCTGTGTTTGTAACCCATTCTGATCACAGAAGTTAGGACTACATTAAATATCTCCAAATCCAAAAGACATTTATGACAGGAAGAATAAAATCTTATTTCTCTTTATGGACTTCAGTCCATGCCTGTAACCGTTGTGTATGTAACAGGAGTTATGGCTAGACAAAGGGATTTTTCAAAACAAAAGTGGGGGAAGAAGAAGGGTAGTTTATCTATCTTTCAAACCAAAAGTGGGGGAAGAAGAAGGGTAGTTTATCCATAAATAAATAAGGTTGGAGCAAGGTACTGAAAACTGATAAAGAGAACAGAAAGAATTACTTGAGAATATCCTCTTAATATCCCAGTCTTCTACAGATAGAGCAGTGTGTAGTAGCTTCTCAGACATGGACAGACATCAGTTTGTAGGCCAAGAACAAATCAATCCTGCAAAAAGAAAACAAAATAACCAGAGAGTGAATGACTACAGCAGACAGCTATTCCTCCCACCAACAGGTTTCCTCTCCTTAGATCTACTGGACAGTTCAGCACCCAAGTGACTGCCAGTGGAAAAAGCAACATAGTGTAAACATAGGATTTGTGAGCTAAATTCTCATTTAGTGTAAACTGATGTAGCACCAGTAAAGAAGATGCAGCTAAACCAATTCACACCACCTAACAATCTCATTCTCCGTGCTTCTTCAGAATGAACTAAACATTTTGCAAATCTCTGGTGGTATTACATGCCTACAAAGGAACAAGACAAAGGAAACTGTGCCATAAAATACATTTGTATCAACCGACCAGAATCATGTGCCCTTCCTTCCAGCCTTTATGGCAGCAATAAAACAGACCTGGCTTGCCAGTACTAAGTTCTCAAATGAAGTACACCATTCTGATTGCACAGCACTTCCTGGTCCCTCTTAGTATTTTAATTATAATTTGTATACAGGCAACATAGCTTAACTGTACTGTTTTTAAGAACTTTAAGAGGAGGAGTTCTCTTATTCTACCAATCATTTTGAATATTTTGGTAACTACAGGACAAGTGCCCCTGGAAAATGAAAATATTTTCCATTTGTGCACTGCTCAGAATAAATCTAAAGGAATGCTGAAAATGAAAAATCAGATTTTCTATTGGTTATTGAACTGGTGCTGAATTGCTAGAAGAAACACTAGTGCTGTACACCAAAGCTCTTCCCAAAACGGTGGCAAAGCCACTCGTACATGAAAGAGAAGAGAGAATCAATTTCATTTTTATTTGCATTGTTATATGTTAATAGTTTACATCAGCAAGATATTAATCAAAATGCCTGACCCGGAAGTTTAAGGACCAAAACTTAAGTATGCCAGACTGTTGTTAATAGCCAGGCAATGCTCTGTGTTTTTGTCATTATTGTTTAAATAAGTTCAGGTCAGACTGTGCTCCATTCAGGAAGTATGTAATAAAAGGAAACTCCTTATGGAGTTTTCTGAACATGCTTCCCTTGTGAAGGGTAGGGCTTGTCTCCTGGAGAATCAGCAGAGGCTTAACCCCAAGACCAGTAAATCCAGAGAAGCCAGGGTCATGCTTCTATACTGACTGTTTGCTCCTAAATGTGCATGTTTGACTCAACCCTTCACCCACTGGGTTGCACAACATATTTACTACATAGATTCACGAGTGACCCTTATTGACATGTACCTGCAGAGGTTTTTGCATCTAAATTGCCCATGAGTATAATAGTGTGCACCTGTTTGAATAAGTTGGACAGAATGTCATATTCCTGTCTGTATTGTTTTCAGCCTTTACTGCATCTGGAACTTAAACACCAAGCCTGAAACACCATCTTCTTCCTTGAGCAATGCTGTTTCTTTCTGTAGGCCCATCTCCCAAAGCTGCTATTACTGTAACAATATACTTGTATGCCATATTTCTACATGGATTCACGTGTTGTTAAGAAGGAAGGCAAATGCCCTTTTCCCTTCTACCCCACCCCCATACACCATTTGTGGGTCCATTTCCAACTCTATCCTGAAACCTCAGATTCAGTCAACATCCAGTGAAGAGTTAAAGAAAACAAGAGAACTCCGCTTTATCCCCAGAGCCATGCATCTTTTGCCTCTATTTTGAAACTTGATTGGCTGAAGTCATAATCCATAAATGTGTAGTTTGTCAGCAGCTCCCAATTTTGCATTCACAGCCAGACACTCCATCAGTTCAGAGTGTAATGGAAAGCTGTGCTGCCATATTCCTGCACTGCAGGAGAATATGGGACTTTCATAAATGTCTTATCTCCTTTCACTCCCTCTCCTTCTAAACATGTCTTCAGTTCTGTAGCTTCTATTCCTAGGTTTCAGACTTGCTCTTCTATCCAGCTCCACATGTTTCTATAGGATGCCAGTCATGTAGACTGCAAAGTAGGGAGTACTCTGGCATCATTATTCAGCATAATTATTGGGTTTCTGGCAAGACCCAAATCTTCTAATATTTAATGTATTCTTAAATATATGCTTATAGGTAAGGAAGGAGAGCATTTAGGTAGATACTGTGGGCTCTCAGCATTTAAAAAACCCCCCAACATTCCTGTCGGAGGTCCACTACTTCTTACATACCGAGAGCACATCAATTAAATATTCAGAAATAGAGCTAGTTACATGAGCCAAGGATAAAAATTTTACTCCATTTAATCTCATTAGCTCCACAGACCTGCTACAGATTTTAAAAAAATGAGCTGGTCTATATTATAGTTTATTAAATATTTTTGCTCACAATATATACATTCCAAATTGGAGGCCAAATTCTTGCCCTTCCTCATATATGTATTATCCTGATAAAGAGGGCCTCATGAGCTTTCTACAGTCATAATTTTTGGCCTAGGTAAGGAATGCCAGATTTGTGAAAAACTACCTGCCTTATTTTGCAATGTAAATCTATTATACTAGTTAATGTTTTTAAAATACAGTTAGCTTTTTAGGAAAATAAACTTCTGCAACAAATGACTGAGGAGTCTCGGTAACACATTGAACAACTGAAATCAGGGAAGTATTCAAAGGGCAAGACAGAGGTAGTGCACACCTTTGCTTTACCCAGGTAAACAAACTAAGACTTTGTACCATGCAGAATTCTAAGTTATAAACAAGCTCTGATGACATCATGTTACCATCCTGAGACTTATTGGTTATTTAAGATGCTTTCTAGAACCCCTGATTAGGCTCTTTAGTATATTCATATTTTTATGATATACCTATATGCATCCCACCGTGTTTGAAAGAATTTTCAATAATAACAGAGCAAGTTAATATCCAGGATCCTGCTAGTTTTTTAAATGTGAAGAATATTTTTGTGCAACCCCTTAAATGCTTTGGAAGAATACTGAAGTGAATAAAGACAAATTTGTTAGTCTTTAACAATACTGAATCCTATCTAAGGAATCAGAACTCCTAGCAGAGGTGATATCTTTTATTAGACCAACTAGATAGTTGCAAAACAATGTCTCTTATTTGCAAGCTTTTGGGAACACACACACTTCTTCAGGCATAAGAGAATGTAAAGATTGTAAAATCACACAGACTCTTCTTCAGGCATAAGAGAATGCAAAGATTGTAAAATTTCTCCTAGGGGGAAGTGAAAATTCATGTGTCCCAGGAGACGTATGATTTTTCTTTTCCACCTAGGAGACATTTTACAATCTTTGCATTCTCCTATGCCTGAAGAAGAGTGTGTGCGCCCAAAAGCTTTCAAATGAAGAATTTTTGTTGCAAATATCTAGTTGGTCTAATAAAAGATACCGCCTCTGCTACAAGTTCTGATTCCTTTTGCCTGTAGACCAATATGGCTACAACCTGTATCCCTGAATCCTACCTAATGCACATGCTGAATATCCAAGCAAGTTCAGCCCAGTGAATTGCAGCAGAGCTAAATAAACGCACCATGAGGTTGAGTTACCAAGGTAGGAGTGACAATTACCTGGTCAAAGGACAATTTACAGTAAGTAAAATCCAAGTGGTTTACAGGAAATATTTTCAGAAACTATTATCAGAGCTACTTTAAAATATATCTGCATTGCTTATATTAAAGTTTATACAGACTTTTGCCACAAAGTATGTTGCCTGAAGGACGCTACTTTTCTAGGCAACCATACAGTTGTTAAACTTGGCTCTCCAGAAGCTCTCTTGATGCCATCAGCAACTCATGTTTTCTTTTGTGGGATTGAGGCTGGGGGATATTCTCATTTTGTGGGGAAGAAAATTAAATAAAGGGGGGCACTTCATTTTTTCATGTAAGAGGTCAGATACATATATGGCTCTGTAAGTATTAAATGATACTGTGTCCAATGACCATGCATGTGATTGATGCATGAGGATTTAAAATTGCAGTAGGTGCTGGGATATTTAAAGGTACCAACAAAAAACAATTGCTGAAAAAAAATTTGCAGAGCGTGATACTGTGGTATGGCAGTGCAAGCCCCGCATATTAAAAGAAAAGTAGCACAATTGTAGTTATCTTTATCAGTCAGAAGTTCTTGCTGTACTGGATTTCCATGGAACTGAAAGCAAAGTCATCAGTAACAATGGGTGCTTTATTTTTCCTGCACAATTGCTGCCAAAACAGTCCTGAGACTTCCATGAGACTGCTACGAATATGTTGGAGTGGGATGAATCTGGCAAAACACTGTTAAACTGCGCTAGCTGTATGGCTGCACTAACCGATAATTTCAGTGCAGGGCTGAAAAAGAAAAAATAGTTTCTGTGGCTGCATCTACTTGTGCAGCAGACTGTGCAGTTGTTATTGCATGGTATAGTAAGTGGCATTACTGCACAGTACAGTTGCCACACATTTTTTTCAGCCAATGCTACTCTGCAGTAGTAAGAAGCTACTACTCAGTAGTTCATTACTACTACGCAGTAGCATTGCCACACAGTTAGTGCCTGGCAATGCTACTGTGTGGTAGCAATGAGCTACAGTGCAGTAGCTCATTGCTACTGCGCCATAGTGTCTTGTGTAGACGCGTCCTAGACAGAAATAGAATTGGTTAACCTCGCAATATTGTTGAGTAAAGGCTCATGATTGTTGTTTTACTCCCTACAGGCATCAAAGAAGATATCATTTCTACTGTTAATGACAGTGTATTGAGATCTCAGATCAGGATTGCAGTCTCTTTGGACCCTACCCCACATCCCTCAAAAACCTTATTGAAATTGATCTGAATTTAAGGTGAGCAAGGAATGCAAAAACAAGTCCTTCCCTATAGTTTTCAATTTACTGTAACAGACGCCTAGGGAAGAAATGTTCACTGTTAAACTTAAGTGTGCATCATCTTGTGTAGACTTTCCAGTGACTCTCATAGTCTCCTAGACTTCCTTATGAAATGCTTCCTTTTGCTGCTCCAAGGCAAAGCATGGGAATCTGTAACAATTTTTTATGCAAAAGGGTGGAAATTTAAGACTTACCTTTTTCAGAAACTATATAAACTCCCTTCCTTGGAAACTGGTGATGTGAAGCCTCTCAGCTGCAGAAACAGATACAGAGTTGGTAAACATAGTGGAAGAGAAATCTATGGTCTTTTCAGCATCCTACTCAAGTGCCCTAAAACTGACGTCTTCCTAATGCGGGCTCTCACCACAAGTCTGTGGCACCACATACTGCATGTTCAGTTGTTCTCCATGCTACAAGGGAGCAGGGCAGGGTTTTTTCTGACCCCTGGATATCCAGGGGTCAAAAAAACCTGCAGGAAAAAAAGCGGAGTGGTGCACGTCAGGGAAGTGTGTGCCGCTCAGAACTGGAGACTGGCTGGCCAGAGCCACACTGCAACTGCTAGCCAGGCTTTGCACAGCAGGATCAGCACTGCTGCAGCCCTGGGAGGCCCTCAGGACCCAAGGTAAGGCTGCTGGGGCTATCCCAGTGCAGGCCTCAGCCTCCCTTACTTACTGCACACCAGGGGTCATGTGGCACAGGCATTCCCTGGAGATAACCAGTGGCAGCACAAGGTGCACCACTGCTAGTTGTCCCCGGGGAAGCAAATGTCCACACACATGTGGACATGGCCGGGGAGGGTTGCTGGCATATGACTCACTAAAGAATGAATTGCAGTGAAGAGTGGAGGTGAATTATTATGTCTACCTATCATTTTCTAAACAGTGACAGTACTTGCAGCTCCTATAGGAAAGTTTACAAGCCTCTCCTACATTATATTATTAAGCAGTACTTTACAAAGCTCCTAATACTTAAGCAGCTTTGCAGAAGGTAGGGCAGGTTGCCACCTTAGGGCATTAACAGACATGCTCGGGGAGGGGGGGTGCACTTTAATTAGTAAGCCTGGCTAATTAAAAGATCCTGAGCATCATATTTATCAGCATGCTTGTGCTGACAAAATAGTGGTGGGGTGATTTGAACTAAAGCTTGTCTGATGAGCTGTAGTTCAAAGCGCCCCGCCACCATTTTTCAGTGCAGGGATGCTGATACATTTGACACTGGAGGCTGCTAGGGCATGTTGATTTCCCTGCTCCAGCAGACTCGATTAATCACTGATGCAGCAGTGATTAATTAATCATTAATCCAGCAGACTCGATGCACTGGATTTACAGTAGGGGCAGGAAAAATACAGCCCGTGGGCCAGATCCATCCCACCAGACCATTCTATCCAGCCTGTGGGGCAGCTAAAAAATCTAGAAAATTAATATCTGCCCCTGGCTACCTGTCAAAAGTGACAAGGCACCAGAGGCAGTAGGACCCAGGGGGAACTGGTGGTAGGACCCAGCAGCCGCAGCAGCAAGACCTGCCCATCCCCATCCCACCCCTAGCCCCCCTCCCAACCCCGCAGCTGGAAGCCTCTGCCAGCAGAGGTTTCTGGCCTGGGACCCTGGGGCTGTTCCTGCCTTCCTCTGCTGGGGGGTGGAGAGTAGTGATGGTGGCAGCAGGCAGGAAAGCAAGGAAATGGCAATAGCTGGTGACAGGGGAGTGGCAGCAAGCAGGCACACAGGAGCACAGTGACAGCTGTGCAAGAGTGTGGGGCCCACGCTGATGTCCTAGGGCTAGGGAAGGCAGGGTCCCACAGTGGGACAGCAGGAGCATGCGGCTCAGGCTAGCAGGGGCTCTATGAAGCTGGGCTGGCTCCCCCCACTCCCTGCTGGTGTAGCCCAGTCTGGCTCCTTAGAGGCCCTGCCAGCTCAGGCCCTGCACTTCTGCTGCCCTGCCCACACTCCTGCCCATCAGTTGCTGCATTTCTGCATGCTTGCTCACTGCCACTTCCCCACCACCTGCCACCACCATTTCCCTGCTTTCCTGCCCACCACCACTGCCATTCCTCTCCATTCCACTGCCCACTGCTCTGGCACCACATGGTTCCCAGTTGCAGCGCCAGGCCACAGGACTCAACAGAAGTTGGCCTGGCCCCTGTGATTCTTGGCTGGCTCCATGCAGTGCCGGCCAGGCAAGTTGGGCTCCTGCTGCGTCCTGCGGTCTCAGCCATGCAGCTGGGATGTGGTGCTGGAGCAGTGAGTGGTGGGGGGGAAAGGGAAGTGGCAGGAGAAGGGCAGCAGTGGCAGACAGGAGGGAGAAGTGGTGGTGAGCAGGAGCATGGGGCCTGTGCCAGTGCCCCGAGGTCAGGAGTGGTAGGAGCGCAGAGCCCGGGCTTGGAGGAGGGCTGGCAAAGGCTCTGCCTGTCGTGCGGGGGGGGAGGGGCTGTGGGCAAACCCTCCCCCTCCACACATGCCACAACCCTCTCCAGCCACCCTCCCCCCATGCACTCATGGGCCCCCCACAAACCCCATACCCACTCACACTCCACACATCCACACCCACATGCTCCCCCACTCCACACACACACACCCCTTCACCCATACCTCACATAGCCACATGCCCACAGCCCCCCCCCCCCCAATATACAAGAATAAGATTTGATTTTACTCCATTGGGCAAATAAGATTTGATTTTAAGCTATTGTGCAATCACCTCCATGTACACTACACAAACATGTAAATCAGGACAAAAATATTTTTTGAAATCAAATTAATGAATGTTGTAATAGATGTTTGAATTTTAGAATATAATTTGGTATTTTTCTGGGTCCAAGATGGCAAACCCCCTTGCTGAAAGGAGGGCTTCGGGGGGGGGGGAGCAAAGGGAGAGACTTCTGGTGGCAAAGGTCAGGGGTTATAGGGTGGGACTTCCAGTCCCAAGATAGCAACCAGGGGGAGGGGCACCTGTCAAGGGGTGGGGCTACCCTTGTGGCCCTCAACAGCTTGCCAAAACTCAGTGAGCAGCCCTCCGCCTGAAATAATTGCCTGCCCCTGATTTACAGTGTGTCAGAGCAGGATCCCTGCATGTGTATAAGTGTCCTGAGACACTAACTGGTTCAAAGAGGCATAAGCTTTCATAGGCAACAGCCTGCTTTGTCAGATACTATGAATGGACTTGCAGAAAGAAAAGGCTTAAAATAGAGAGGAGTTTAAATATGAAAAAAGGCACAGGGAGAAGGCACGCTGTTCAGGGAGGCAAAGCAGAGAGGGGTTGGAAAGGTCAATAGGGATAAACAAGTGAGTGCAGCTGGCATCTGGGCCTGTAGCAAGGCTTAGTGAGAACTGGAGTTAGGTAGTCTGTTGCTGGAGAGAGATTTTTTGAGTTCTTGGAGTAGCTTTGAAGAGTAGAGGCATTAGAGCAATATTGTACTTAGCATACTGATTACATTCCAGAAGATGGAGCCATTACAGAAGGACTTAAGGAGTCCACATTCTAAAAGGGATTGACATCCTCAGGACCATATACAAATATCTAAGTACTTTACAAGAAGTAAGAACTCCTGGTCTCCACTGTAATGGGGAATGTCAAACCTTTTCCAGAAATAAAGGGCTAAGGTGTGCTCTAAGGAAAACCACCTCTTCCCTCCAGAATGCAGCTGCTCTGTATCAGTGCAGAAAGCTTTCTAGTGGGGCCTCCGGAGGCTGAATGCCTAAAACAGGCCAGATTAGGGCAATGTCTCTTTTGGGAACACCATTATAGAGAAGTCTAGGACAAGAAAGTAATGTTTGGATTATTCTCAGAGATTATTACCTCTGGATCTTACCGATTAGCAGGATAATTGGTATTAGCCACAGGAAGCAAATACCCATAACATGACAAATTCTGTTTCAACTGCCTGGAGTTCATAGAAGGGTAATGATGAAAACTCTTGCTAAGAATAAATTCCATATATCAATGAAGTCTGCTGTGCTTAAGTAAGGTTATGTGATCACAGATGCTGTGGTCACAAAAGAGAAGGTTTATGTTCTAAGATTTTCATAGAATCATAGAAGTAGGGTCGGAAGGGACCTTGTAGATCTTCAAGTCTGACCCCCTGCCTGGGCAGAAGGAAAACTGGGCTCAAATGACCCCAGCCAGGTAGGCATCAAGCCTCTTCTTAAAGACCCCCAGGGTAGGATCCAGCACCACTTCCCTTGGAAGTTGGTTCCAGATCCTGGCCGCCTAACTGTGAAGTAGTTCTTACGGATGTCTAACCTAAACCTACTCTCCAACAACTTGTGACTGTTATTCCTTGTTATCCCGGGGGGCGCTAGGGGAAACAAGGTCTCCCCCAAATCCTTCTGGTCCCCCCTAGTGAGTTTATATACGGTCACCAGGTCCCCCCTCAGCCATTTTGATGTGGTTGTGGGAGTTCTGCCTCACATATCAACTGTCAGTGCAAGGAGACAGTACTGTAGAGCTCTGAGTAGCCGGAGCAGATTAGAATAAAGGATCCTCAAGAAATCTAAGAACTAGATTCTAAAACAACAGGTGTTTATATGCTTTATGTGCTTACATTTCTGCTGTAGTATGCATCTGCCCCTTACCTGCAAAACATCAGTTCTACCACCAAGATCAAATCTGTATTTTCCTTTGTCATTTTATAGAAGTGCACTGATACATTAGTCCAATATCAGATTGGCACCAATATAAAGAAAATTGACTATCGGAAATCAGCCTGATATAGCCCATAATTTAGCCAATAAATGCCTGTGCATGCGCGCAGCCACAACGCAGCATGCAGGCAGTGAGGAGCACAGGTCATCAGCTTGGAGAACTGCTTGCCACTGGTAAGTCTGTTGTGGAAGGGGAGGGGGGAGGGAAGGGGCATGGGGTGGGGCAGATCAATGCCCCCTGCAGTGAGTGAGGGAGTGGGGCAGGGGCAGGCGCTGCCCAGCCAGGGTGGATCAGGGCATGGAACAGAGCCCGCTGCTCATCTGGGGGGGACGGGCTGGCGGGGGGGACACAGATTCCACTGCTGTATGCCTCCAGGGAGGATACAGGAGGGGCGTGTGCCTCCAGATCTGTGTGGTGGAAGGGGGAAGCAGGGTGGGGCTGCCACTACAGGCTGAGCCCAGGGCAGTGCTGGGCTCTTCGTGGCGGGGGCTGGGTCAGGCTGCACTCAGGGTAGGTGGTGGTGGTGCGCTGGAAGCGAGGCTATGGAAGGGGGGGAGCTGCCACCACCCCAAATTTCATCATACCCCCCCAGTAGTCCCCTCCCACCAGTGTTGCTGCCTGAACTGCAGCCCAGCCCAGCCCTGCTCCCACACAGATCTGGGGACACACACCCCTGTGTCCTCCTAGGATGTGTGCAGTAGAAGCCCTCCCCCCATGCTTATCAGAAGCTTATTATAATACAGTAGTTAACATGGACATTATGATATTTTGTAACACCATAATTAGTATTGGGCCTGGTCCTAGTTAGTCATGATGTAAGAATAGAGTTCACATCATCCTGATATTACAATCGGAGCAACAAAGCCCTGATACTTGCATAGGGCAAAATGACCCTAAAGCTATAGGCTACCTAAACTACTAAAATGCATACAACCTAATCCAGGATGATGTGTTTATATGTGGCCTGATTGGCTATTCTACCCTTGTTCCTCATTGGTAGGGAACTACTTAATTTGCAATTTGACAGATTTTTTGGATTTTGTGTAAACCATGAAATCGGACATTGTTCACAAAAACAGACATTTTCTGTGAAATAATAGTAATAAAAAAAACCCCACTTACTAAAAATAAAATACTGGCTCCCCGGTGGGAGTTAGCAGTCCTCATGGCCCCTGCAGCTTGACTTCACAGCTCACTGGAACCAGGGGTGCTGCTGGTCTGAAGGGAACCAGCCAAGATAGTGGCCACCCCCGCACCCTGCCCCTCACAGCTGACTGACTGAGGGCGCCTCAACATGCAGCCCCACCCCTTTCCACCAATCAGCAGCGGGAGGCGGGACTGCCCTCTCAGCCAATCAGAAGTCAGGTGCAGGACTGCACAACAGACAGCCCTTTTGGCCAATCAGTGGTGAGGGGAGGGCTTGTCACAAAAAGGCTGTGAAATTGGGTCCATGCACCATGAGCAGCCTGCAAAAATTCCTTTTGCTCGTGGCAACTTAAGTAGATCCCTACTCATTGGTCCATGCCACAGAACAAGCAGTTCAGACATTTATAGTTCTTAACAGAAAAGCAGCAACCGGGCTGCTCAATGCTTAATAAGCCTTTAGTTATATCTGATATCTCATTGCCCTCTAGCCTTGTCTTTTTGTTTCTGTCCTGAATTTTTCCTCCAACCTTGTCTTCTGGCTCCATTCTTCTCTAGCCTTGTCTTCAGCTCCATCTGCTCTCCAGTTACTGCCTTTGGCTCCTGAGTTCTCAGTATATTGTGCCCTAACCAATGGACAAAACTATCTTTGCCCCATTCTGACATAAACTGAAGGTGAGCTGTGACATCTGACAGCTTCAAAAAATGTTTCCTCCTCCTATCATTATTTCCTCTAAGTTTTAGTCTAAGGCAGTTTCTCTTCTTTCAAGTTCCATTTTTGTAAGCACTACGACAGTCAAGCCATGTGTGGTTCCCTAGAAAAAAACCCCATTCACATGCTGTCTCAGTTGCTAACTGAAGCAATTTTTCAGCTGAAGGTAAGGCACAGACACTAGGAATAGAAGACTTCCTGCAATCAGAGGAGAAAATGTAGTCCTATGACTTATGACCAAGGATCCAAGTTTTCTATTCACCACAGAAAAACATGGTAAAACCAAGATTTTCTCATTTTAAGGAGAAAAATGTGGGAAACAGTGGGTTTCCCCTTGCAGGTTGGCAGAGTTCCAGCCTACAAGGGGCTGTGGAGAGCAGGAAGAGGGTGATCAGCAGGAGGCACCATGTGCATGTGCGCATGTACACAAGCATATGGCTGCTAGGCAATCTGGAGAGCAGCTCCCTGCAGGTAAGTTTGGCAGCAGCAGGGAAGGTGGCAGGGAATTGAGGCCCCCATACTGAGGGAGGGAGGAAGGAAGGGAGGGAGGGAAGGAGGAAGTTGGGCAGGGTGGGGGCTGCTGTCCAGCTGGGGCGGTGCATGGGACTTGGGGTCTGGGGCTCGAATACACAGCTGCAGGGCCCAGGCAGGGAGTGGAATGGGGCAATGGGCAACTCATTCAGGGAGATGCAGGGGGGGGGGGGGGGGCTGGCCCCCCCACCCTCCCCACTACTGTGTGCACTACCGGGGGGGCATGGAGGACACATACCTCCCACATTTGTGCATGGGGCAGGGGAGTGGGCTGCCCACTGTGGGCTCAGTCTCCCCACCCTACTGCCCTCCCCCCAGGGCCTCCATGGCCTAGCTGGTGGGATCTGGTGCAGCAGGGCAGAACTGGGTGGGGAAGCTCAGAGCTGCTGCTGGGAGCCTGCACCGCCATGGCAAGGCACTCCCTGACTGCCTGGCAGCAGCAGGTGTGGTAGCACAGAGTTGTGCCCCTCACTGCTGCTGGGTGGGCAGAGGGAACCTCATCATGGCAGCATAGGGCTTGCAGCAGTGGCACCAAGCTTCCCTGCCTGGCCCCACTGTGCCAGGTCCCACCTGCTGGACCATGGAGGCCCCAGAGGGAGGGCAGCAGGGCGGGGTGGCTGAAGCAGCCAGTCTGGATCCCTCCCCCGTGGGCTCTGCTTTGGCTATGCTTTGGGGAGCCATGGCTCTGTGCTCCACTCTGCTGCTGTAGCCACTGCCTCCTGCAGGTGGCAGCCACATTTCAGGTGCTGCTGCAGGGGAGCAGGGGGCTGCAGACCTGGGTCCCTGGCCCTGTAACCCTGGCAGCTGGAGGCCTTCCTCCAGCAAGGCTGGGGGGGCAGGGGACTGTGGGTGGGGAGTGAGGGGCACAAGCAGGGTTGGGGAGGCTATGGTTGGGGATTAAAGGGCACCAGCAGGGCTGCTGGTTAGGAGTGAGGGGCAATGGTATGGGCAGGGCACCAGCATATCAGGGCTGCTCAGTGCTACAAAGCAGTGGGGTGGGGGATAGCTGCAGCTGGACCTGCATCCTGGTGAGTGAAGGGGGCAGGGGGAGCTCTGATTTTCCATGATAGAAGTCCCCAAAATCAGATGCCAACATTTATAGGTATTTAAAATTTATTTTATTATAGTGATTGAGGCACTGGTATGCTTCCAAATTGCTTTATAATTGTAAACATATCAATAAAATATTGTGTTCAACTGATATATATATATATATATATATATATCATTTTAATAATGTAAAAACACAGATTTGGGGTTTTTTTATCCAGGATCACAGAGGAAGTCTGTAGCAAGCAAGGCTATGTATGAAATGTAATAACCCAGTCCTCTACTCTACTTAAAGTTTCTTTGTAAATGCATAAATAATAGGCATAGCCCCTGTCCTGAGGATCTTACAGATCATTTGATTGAGACAACTAACAAAACTCAAACATTAGATGGCTATTAGATGGTGGTAGCCTGCAGATTGTTGCTGGAAGGCTTTACTTCAAGATTTTTAAAAGTGCAGTTGGCTATAAGTTAATTCAGTTACAGGGAACAACATGCACCTGAGTGCAAGTGGTATTTCTAATTTCACAGAATTGTTAAACACTTCCCTTGAATGTGAAACAAAATGGCAAAATAACTTATTTATAGTCCAATAATGTTAAGGGTCTGTCAGAAACCCCTTCTAAATGCCAAAGTTCGCAGTTAAGGCACCAAGCAACAGTAATTTCACCCCCTTGTATATACCCATTATAACAGGACATGATGTCATTAACAGAAAGCCTTATTAAACAGAACCTTTATTCCTAAAAATAGTGTATCTAAGTGAAGATACTTACATACTCACTTCAAATGGACTCACTTCAAATCTCAAGGGCCATTTTCTATTGACCTGCTGCCCGAATGCAGTCCTAGGAGTTTCTAATAACAGTGTCCAAGAAGGAGATCCTCAATGTGACTCCATATGGATGTAGTAGAACACTCACATTGAAGTCCTGCTCTTCTATTGGCTGCTGCATGACAAGAACAGACCAGTACTGTAAATAGAACACTATCCATGGAAACACTTACTTCAACACTTCTGAAATGCTTGGATTAGTTTATAAATAATGATGACCCTTCTTAAAGGTACTCAGCATTGACTTAAATATTCTGATCTTGAGCTAGTTATATGGCTCCCAGTCGTACTGGGCAAACCTACACGTGCAGTTCTGGTGCCTGAATAAACTGTGGAGCTTATTGCTCTGGGGTTAATTGCTCCCAGGCACACCATTTGAACATAGCCCCAGGAGCAATTAATTCTGGAGGAATAAGCTCCACAGTTTATTCAGGCACAACACGTTCAGCCTGGGTAGAGCAGACATGGCTGGCAGGGGGCCCCAGGGGTCAGCCTGCCAGCCCTTCGCTGCTCCCATTGGCTCTGTATGCTACAGAAGGGGCTGGCTGTATCATGAAAGAACTTCAGTGTAGGGCTACCTGGCAGGCAGATTCGGCCTGATTCGGTGGCTGAATCTCCAAATCCAAATTGAATCGGGACCAATAAAAAAGGTCCAAATTGATTCGAAGCTCTCTGAATCTTTGGAAAAGATTCGGAGAGCTTCAATGATTCGGGTAGACCCCGCCTGCTGCAGCAGGGAGCTGGAGCCGGACTCTGAGCTGGTAAGTAGGGGCAGGAGAAGTAAGGCTGGAGGAGGGGGGAGGGGACCAGGGGGGGACCCCTGCCAGGGCCCAGTCCCCACCATGGCTACCCCTCTCGGCCCCAGCTCCTGGCCCTTTAAAAAGAAGCCCTGACTCACTGGGTGCTCCCGGGTGGTGGTGGGGGGGGCAATCCCTACTGCCCACCGCTGCCCCAGGCTGCATGGGGGGGGCTCTGCACAAGCCTCCCAACCCCCCTCCACTCCCACACCCCACCATGGCTGCCCCACCCACCCTAGCTCCAGCTCTTTAAGAAAAAGAAAACCGAAAAAACCCCGGGACTCACAAGCTCCTGCAGTGGCCTCAGGGGTGCTTGTGGAAGAGCCCCCCACGTGGCGCAGGGTTCAGTGGGGATTGCCTCCTGCTGGGCACAAACCAGTAAGCCTAGATTTTTTTGTTTTTGTTTTTCTTAAAGGACCACAGGTGGGGCGGGCGGGGCATC